GTTGACCCCCCCCCCCCCACCCATGTGTAGTGATACTATAACCTCCATTATGGTTGATATAGGATGAAAAAAGAAGACCATCAACGTAGGGGGGACTTCCTCCATAGAATACCAATTTGTGTCATGCATTCAGAAAGAAATTTCTCTTGGAGAAGAACCACAACACACTTTGTTACTCCTTTTTTTGAAAAAACGAACCAATGCACACCAAATTCAACAAACCATGGAACTACACCTAGTGATGGAGCTAAAAGTGTGAGCATGACTTCATTGTGAATAAATCAGTAAGCAAAGATGGTTATGAGTTATAAGATTCAAAAAAGTCCAACATTTCATATTTGTTGGGCAAAAAATGCTCAAGAAATAAAATTATGAAATGAAGACTCAAAATTTTATATATTAAATATCTTGGATCTTTAATCCAAGGAAGGAGGGAAATCGACATTGATGTCACACATCGTATTGGTGTAGCATGGATGAATGAAGGTTTGCCTCTAAAGTCTTCTGTGACAAAAATATACCACAAAAACTTAAAGTAAATTTTACAGAGTGGTGGCTAGATCAACTTTGTTGTATGAGGGAATGTTGGCCAGTCAAAAACTCTCGTGTTCAAAAAATGCAAGTTGGGGAAATGAGGATGTTGTGATGGTCTGATGGAGGTATGAGCAGGCTAGGAGCAAAAAATTAGAAATGAAGATACCATGACAAGGTGGGAGTGGCATCCGTGGTGGACAAGATAAGGGAAGTGACGCTGAGATGGTTTGGACATGTGTAGATAGGAGGGTGTGGAGGTCGATAATTAGGATACAAGGTTAGTACTTAGTTGGTAGTAGAGTGTTGTCTTGCTTTTCAACAGATTTAGGCTTGATGGTATTTGTCATGTTAGCCTTATTCTTGTAGTTCCTTGATTTTCATATCTTTCACTGTTTGTTGTTAGTGTATCAATTATCGCGCAATTTTGTTGTTGTTAATGTTCCTTTCTTGAATGCTCTACACTGTTTTTCTTAATGATTTTTCTTCACTATCGTTTTTTCTTTTCATAACTACTTTGATTTGTTGCACCTGAGATGAAGGTCCATTGGAAACAACTTATATAAGGTTTGTGTACACTCTACCTTCGCGTGGATTTCACAGGGCATGTTGTTGTTTGTAATTAAAATACTAACTTCCATGTAAGATGGAAATTTTCCTATAAGCAGGACTGCTATACAGCTATACTAGGAAATCAACTAATATTTGTCTTCAAAATTATCATTGATTCATATATAAATGAAAAGCTATAATACTTGTATACACCAAGTATATGTTAAAACAACCCACCAAAAAACAGACTGCTAAAACAGGTGAAAGGGACACTAAAACAGCAAATAAGTAGTATGGAAAATTAACAGCATGAGTACCTTCTCTGGTCTCCCAAGCAATGCCTCCGACGAAAAGCTTTCTATCAACAAGCAAAACCAGCAGTTACAATAATTTCGGCATGGCCTCATGCAGGAAGGGGGGTTTGCCATTATCTAAAACCTAAAGACCCAAACTATAAGCTATAAACTACTAACTACAAACTAACCCTGCAGAAGAATCATCGAGTGAATGCTTTAATTCATGTCCTGCACTACCATCGTTTCGTTCCTGCTCTTCTGAGACATTTTGTTCAGCTACATAATCCATTTGGTTCCTATTCTTTCTCTAACTATGAAGATACCTGCAAATGAATACGATATTATTTCCAACTACACCCTATATTTTCTTTTTACCTGTGGTTCCGCAGTTTTTCGTCTAAACCCTAAAGGGGGAAAAGAAGAAACCCTAACAAAACTTTGACAAATACCAGAGGCGTAGCTAGCTTGTGAATTTAGACGAAACTGAATACTGAGGAGAGTAACGGAAGGCCGAGAGTGCCTGAAATTGCAAAAACCCTAGCTGCTTTACCCTTTTTCTTACTGTGGAGACGGGGAAGTTGCCGCCGAGTCGGACTTCTTATAGGTTGGGTTCGATTACATTTTTTTTTAGAATAAAATTTAATTAAATATTCATTATAATCTCAGCAGTGTGATTTACGAAAATTAGTGTATACTGTATAATATTTCTTACAAATTAATTAGAGCAATTTCACATCTAGCAAATATAAAAGTCATATTTGTATATTATAGTTATAATTTGCATAATTGCACTTCATAATAAAATTTATATTTGCTATAGAGCTTTTGATTTGTATAATTCGCTGGATACATTGTAATTTGTATAACGGAAAAGGGTCAAAATTGCCCCCGAACTATATGAAATAGACCATTTATACCCTTTGTTACATTTTGGGATCAAAAATGCCCCTGCTGTTATCCTAAGAGACCACAAATACCCTCAAGAGTTTAACAACTCCAAATTTTTTGTTGACGTGGCAAGCCATGTGGGACTAATCCTTCCACCTAAGCGTTGCCAACTAGGATTCATTACAAAAGAACTAGACCTTTAGCGGCAACAACAGTTGCCACAAAAGCCCAAAAAATCGTCACTAAAAGTTTTTAACATTAAATTCTAATTTTGTGTTTTTTTCTTCATTGTTTTTAAAAAACCAAATATGATATCGATTAAGTAGGAGTTTGAAGACACTGTATGTTTTATTTTTATGTCATATGTAAATGTATAAAATGTACAATGATGCATTATATAGTAGGAGATTTGCATAATTGCACTTCATAATAAATTTTATGTTTGCTATGGAGCTTTTGATTTGTATAATTCGTTAGATACATTGTAATTTGTATAATAAAATCTGTATTTGTATAATTATAAGTGTATAGAACGAAAATATATGTATTTATATGTACATTTCTCTCTCGTTTTATACCAACACAAACACATTTTATACATTTGTATATCGAATGGGTAATTGTATATCGAAAATGACTAATTGTATACCGAATTAAATGGCAAGAAAATGGGATATTTGCTGCGAATTACAAATAAAATAAATTATGGCTATAACATTTAATGTAAAGTAATAGTTTATTATTTCAAATAATTTTTCCAATTAATTATCATATTATTAGTTTCATCTGAATATTAAATTTTAAAGTAAAGCACCATTATATAGGGCGATCCATTATGTCATCCCAACTACTTGCACTTATATTAAACGGATTACAATAAAATCTCACTGAATTAATATTTGGTAAATTAATAATCTCTCTAAGAAAATATATTTATATTGTTTTTACTCAATTTGGACTAATGGAAAAAATCATTCATTTCAATAAGATAATATATTTCCAGAAGATCCCTATATAAATATATGGTCCCATCAATATTATAAGTAATAATTATTTCAAAAGCACAAATATATCTAAGACAACTTAGTAAAATGATTCTATTGTGTTTTGTGTTTCTTTGTTAAAATTTAAATAGTTGAAGTTGATCCCTAACTGTTCTTATTTGCAGGAAAAAGTTTTGGAGTTGTCTTTTTGAATGCACCATAAAACTGTGAAGAGTTCTGGGTGCGATAAGTGTTTCCTTACGCGTAACTGACTGTAAAAGTATTGTATTATCTTCAACTTCATCATGAACATTGTTTTTATTCATGGTATCCACAATTTCTCCTAAATAATGGACCTCTAAACATGTATCACTTTCATCCGGGTAATCTTTAAGGCTATTGACGTCAATTTATTTTTTTTGTAACCAAGATCATTAATAATGACCTCAAGTTCATAAATGATGTTTTCATATAAAGACATTATTTAATGTCTTTACAAAATAATACTATATTTATGATCTCACCTATATTGATTTAGTGAGATTTTAGAGTAGATTATTACTTATTTTATGTTAATTCACTTTTGACTTGTTCATATTTGACACAACATATTTTTCGTATTTATACGATAGTTTTTATTTTATTTTTCTATTCGATTTGATTTATTACCTTTTTCTCGAACACGCACGAGCGGCACCGCCGAAGGTGGCTTTATAAATTTGAAATACCATCAAAAAAACTGCTCGCACCCAAAATCCTTTTACCAGTTCCCTCCTTTTTCCCCTTTTCACTTCTGTCTTTTCAAAACCCGCTAGGATTCTAATCCGTCCACCATGAGTAATAATTCCAATAAAGATCAGTTCGACATGTCCGATCTCGGCGGCGGGTTCCCCCCCCCCCCCC